GTGCTCGACGCACAAGACAAGCGGGTAAAAGCGCGATGCTGTCCCCTTGTATGAATCTTTTTCAGTGTTTCGTTGGGTTTCTTAATTTATTAAACAAGTGCTCGACGCACAAGACAAGCGGGTAAAAGCGCGATGCTGTCCCCTTGTATGAATCTTTTTCAGTGTTTCGTTGGGTTTCTTAATTTATTAAACTTGTGCTCGACGCACAAGACAAGCGGGTAAAAGCGCGATGCYGTCCCCTTGTATTGATCTGTTTCAGTGTTTCGTTGGATTTCTTAATTTATTTAACTTGTGCTCGACGCGCAAGACAAGCGGGTAAAAGCGCGATGCTGTCCCCTTGTACTGTATTTACAGTTTTTCAAAGTCACGTGACAAAAGTTTTCTGATCGAGCAAACATTTTCTTCTTTGAAAAACAGCTAAAAGTCATAAATTTTAAATAAGTCTATTTTATTCAAAACATTGACATTGTTTATTGCCACATATTTATAGCATCTTTTGTAGACGTTTGGTTGGGATTTTTAGTGATATTTGTTAAATTTTTGTTATCGATCCATACTGACAAGGCACCTTAAACAGTTTTCTAGCGATTGATGCAGCAAACTAAATTTTGTTCGTATTTTGATTCGTATTTTTGATGCATATGCTTGAATATGGTTTGAGTGCTTGTAATATTTGTGGCTCGTTTACTCAATTCTTCATTTACTGTAATTTTTTGAAAATAGTTTTTTTTCTTTCGGAATAAATATCAATGGCTTGTAAATATATATAGTTAATAAAACTGGCAGTATTCTATTTAATTTCTCAGTTTTGTTTTGTTTTTGAACGACCCATAGAGAAACATTGCAGATATCATAACCGTACACGACATTAAAACAGTTTTATCTGTACTTTTTATGTTTACCATGTCAATATTTATCTTGTAGACTATAAAGTCAAAATGAAAAAAAGGAAACGATGAAATACTTTAATTACCAATTTTTCTTGAACAAGGTTCGGAATCTCACGATTTTGGTGTATGGAATAGGGTCAGGGTTTACAGGTTATAGCTAAACGTCACCTTTGAAATCCTTTCAAATTTTTTAACTAACTGGTTCATATTTTGCCAATTTGTCTTGAATAGGGCGTGGAATTTCACTATTTTTTCTGTATTGAATAGGGACAGGCCAGTTTATAGGTAGCAGCGAAACGTCACCTTTCAAGTCTGGCATTTCTTGGCCTCCATCCCCCGATAAATATTGATAACTCCCTTACTTGTTTGGGCGCACGGAGATATAGAGGATATTACATGGGCGCACGGAGATACGGATTTTATCTTCGAGTGATCTATTGATATAGATTCCATTAAGATATCTATGAACACGATAACATAAAATTTGCACCTCCAAGCGCCCATGTAATGTTTCGATCCATTCATTATTTCAACTCAATATATTAAATATTAGGCACGAAATAGGACAACTTTGTACAGGGTATCCATGGTAACGTGTTATTTTCAAATGTGGAAGATACCACTATTTCGCTCTAGGGATTACAGTCAAAAGACATGAAACGCACCCCCCGAAGACTTCATTATTCAATTCATTATTGGATTTTTCATTCTATTTTTCGTTATCAAACTTCAGTAGATTTATGCAAAATTAAATTCAAATCTCGAACTCTATTGTATAATGAACTACACAATAAACCCGCTCCGAATGTCATGGCCCGTTCCGAAATTCAAAAAGGGACTGGTGACTAGTCACAAGCTCGATACCGTTTGAAGCAACTTTGCATCGGACACCAGGACAAGAAAGAGCATACTAAAATTATTAAAGCTGCTGAGTTTGAAAGTATTCGGATTAGAAATTACAAGTTTCAAGCGTTTAAAACTCGAAAAAATTGCAACGTCCCCAAAACCATACATTCTCTGATTTCTACAAATTTGAAAAAATTCCTACTTAGTTAGTATTCAACCAAATATGCTCAAACTTGACAAGAACACTTATTTTAGTGTGGTCTTTTATGTGGTGAGGTTCAGTTTTAGACAAATGTAATATTCGTTCCCAGTCTCCTTTTGAACTTCGGAATGGCCAATTAGTTAATAGATAATTACTGAGGCACGCAGCATTCGCAGGTATAATGCAGGCAGCTGAGGACGCAGCCCTCAGCTGCTTGCATTATACCTACGAATGTTGTGTGCCGAAGTAATTATCTAGTATAATTTCTGATATTATAGACATGTATAGAGGAAATAATAGCGCAATATAATCAGGGTTAGGTACAGTGCAATAATTACCAGGAGGGGGGCATTACATAAAATTGATGGCAAGATAGGGGGGCTCAAGGTAAAATTACCTAATTAAAAGARGGGGGGCCTTAAGTTWYATTCAAAATTTTCATAATTTTCGATGTCTCTCAAAATGCTGGAAATCGCATTTCCAAGAGTTATTTCCTTTTCAAAATGTTCTTGGGGAAGACTCCCTTAATACTTCCGCCTTTGGCAATCGTTAGACCCCCAGATCCAAAATATATGTCGCAGTCCCTGACATGTGCATAAAAAGTCGTCCACGCTACGCGACTAATGGAAATCTAAATTCAAAGACTCGTTGATGTGTAATTGAAATTGACCAAGATATGAATTGTTTTTCAAATATTGATTTTTTCAATTTTGTCACATAAATTGAAGATGTAGAAGCTGAAAAACATATTGATGATTTATTATACATAACAAGCACAAGTAATATCAAAAGGCCATAAAAACGTTACATTCCTTTTTTGGACCTTGAAAACCTTTGCCAGGAACAAAATTATTTGAAAGAAGCAAGGGCACCACATTTGCTTGTCAGCTCCTACTG